AAGCAATGAAGCAATGAGGAAATTCAAGAAATAGGAAAATGGGAAAGTGGGAAAGTGGGAAATGGTGAAATGGCGAAATGGTGAAATGGCGAAATGGCAAAATGGCAAAATGGCGAAATGGCAAAGTGGACAAATGAACGAATGGGCAAAGGGCGAAAATTTATGCTTTACATTGTGTTAGGTACGTACCTTAGCATAGTGTGTTAAGTCCGACGGAGGTTGAATGAAGCTCAAAGAAAAAGTTGTCCGTCATAGCCGAAGGCCGGCTGCTCCACTCCTTCAACCTGTCTACTCTGGGTGTTTCTATGATCTACACTACTTAGTTTCAGTTTTATCGCTGTACTCGTTCGGGTGTTGGTCTCTAGTGATATGTGGATCATTATTGCTTTGAAGGAACATCGTTCCGTTCCGTATCCTGTGGCTTCCTTGATTCTATCTACCCATTGGAAATAAAATCGTCGGAGATTTAACTCGGGTAAAGGCTGCTACGTCATGCCCAGAAACCTCCTACGCCATCATTAAATGCTTCGATGAGGCAGATACCTTTGATCAGAAAATTATCCTGGACTCTTGTCGTTGTTCTTGTGCTTTTGCTTTAGACTCGGGGTTCTCGTTCGATAGCTGCAAATAATATTAAATGGAGAGGATTCAATATATGTATGAGCTTACCTGCTCTGCCAAAGCTGATAGTGAGACTCAGAGTCTAATCTAATGTTAATTGATGGCATGGTCCTCGTGTGAACAAAAGTACTGAACAAAAAAGGGGGCGGGAAGCCTCTGCTATGCGCCAGCCTCAGCCTCTGACAAGAATATCATGAATAATAGTACTACAGATATGCTGCTCTTAAGGGTTTAACAGAAAGTACCAGGCCTTCACCGCTTGTTTCCCATCGTCAGGAATTCATACTCCAGGTTCCTGTTGGGACATCCAAGCATGCCCCTTGAGATAACAACATTTGGCTTAGTCTCCCATTGGTCGGCGACACCTTCAGCATACCTCTTAGGTGGTGGAGTAAAATTTGAAAAAATTACTATTCATGGCACGAGATCTACTGATCGTCATCTATTAAGTTCCACTATCTCCTTAACTATTGATAGCGTTTTTACCCCCGTAATTAGCCATCGTTGGGGAGGAGAATCGAACCTGTCAACAGTGTTGAAGCCTTTGCACGGACTAAGCGTGGTCATTGGCCAGTCATTGATAAACCCTGAAGTAGCCGAAATTGAAGGACCCTTGCAGTTAGGATCTAATACCCCTGAACTAATCACAATGCGCCTTGAATTTCTAATTCCTGAGGTGAAGGATTTTTGCTCATTACTTGTAAGAGCCGCAGTTTCCTTGGCGCCTAATGCAGAAGGCTATTTTCAGTCATTCAGTAATGGGACTCTTAATAGTAATTACACCTCGTTTCATTCGAAGACCCCAAAGCAGGTTTTGATCCTTGTTCTTCAGCCTTCCCAGAAGCAGATCCATCAGTGTGCAGTACTCTTACTATCTGGAACTCAAATCAGAGTTTTCATAAGATTAAGTTCACCATGTACAATATAGCAATTACGTACAAGATAGCAGGGTTTGCTTCTGTCTATAGGAAAGTGCTTTGGGTCTCATTGCTAGACATATTAAGACTAAGTACTCATTTTTAATCAGGCCAAACCCGTCAAATTTAAGAGTGTGCTTTAAAACAATTCAGCAACAATATATTTAAGTTGGTAGTAGTTAAAGAATCTCTGTATCTAAAAGTCTTAGACATCTGCAACTAGGGCTTTGGATGCACCTGGGGACTAGCGCTTCCTAGGAAGCACTAACAACCTAGCGCATCCTAGAAGACACTGGCGGAGTGTCACTGACCACGTCTGGATGGATCTTCGCGCGCGAAGACATAATGACATTTTACGCTTAGGCCTTTCCCGTATACTCCGTATCATTACAGAACATGAATTCGTTGTTCAAGGTCAACAGGAGAATTTGGCTGTACTTGGCCAGAGAGTGAGCTGGCCATGGTCGTCATTATATACTCTGTACTCCATATGTATAGTTGTGGGGGTATGCTGACCCACTCGCCATAACCCAAAACCTTAGTCAAGGTGAGATCACCTCTAGGTCTGTAACCTGCTGGCCAGTTAAGTTGCATGGCCTAGTTCCGTATACCGGAAGGCTGGTTCATATCAGGGTGAGTATTAATAGTGTACAGGGTCAGGCATTATTCCCAAATGGCAATGCATGTTTAATGTAGGTTTGATATTTGCAGAGGATGTTACAGCACAAGTGGTCACTATTTAGCACATTATGGAACATGCCTGTATTAATATTCCCAAGAAGAAACAGTGTGAGCTATGTAGAGTAATGTCAATTATCAAGCCTATCTTGTGTCAGACCATGCAAAATTAAATAAATTACATGTGCAGTATGGAAGGCTCAGATAGCATAATCTCCCTCTTATGCAGCTGTTCATTTCCAAACCTAGACCATTAAGTCTATCTTTTGTCACTATCCCAGGCCGGTATTGTGTCCGAACCAAGTTGGGCGCGTTTAACCAGGGTGTAATCGTTCTCATCCGTCCCATAAAGAGACGGAGAAAATAGGAGCAGCCAACACAAAAAGAAAATAAGTATATCTTGTTTCCTGTTCTGCAGCAGGGTCCCTTCCAGGAAAATTTCTCGGCCCCTGGCGCGCACTCATGTCCATTAGAATGACGTTCCGACTAATCCAAATGCTTCGCCTTACTGCAAAGTTGAAGTGATCGGATCGATCGGAAGCCTGCAGACTGAGGGTTTGAAGCAGCGCCAGACAGCAGTTTTGGTTCGGAGAGAATATGGTCTTCGGGGAGAATATGGCCTTGGCGGAACGACAATATTAGGATTTAAGGTTTGACAATTCTGTTTGGTATGTCCAGGGCGTATGAGATTAACAATGCCAGTCTGCACTTGGTTCGGGCGCGGCTATCCAAGATCCTTTCTCTATATCGCTGTGGGTAAGACCATGCCGCGTTTAATCAAGGAACCGCATTTAACTTTAAGAAACCAAAGGAAAACTAGGTTGTTTGCTGTCTGAATGATCCAGTAACAGTAATTGGGTTGCTTTGCTCGTTGTGCCCTTAGGTTAATCTTGCTGCTGCCTTGAAGGGGTCCCGCACTATCCAGGACATTATGTAAATTGTGGTGAGGAGTACCTCTCCCAAACTCTACTTAAATCGTTCTCTTTTCATGGAAATACAAAAAGATGATGTCGAGTGGGTACGTGCAGTACAATTACGTTTGATAGAAGGGTTGGAAGCACCATGGTATATCCATATAAGCTTGCCAGGGGACTTACAAGCCTTCAGAATTGTTACTTCTGCGGAGAAAGTCAAAACACTTATATCCATAAAAAGTGATGGACTACCATCACCTCTGTGTGCAGGCGTATATTGTACAACATCTCAAAGATATCATGTTAGTACGAACACAGAGGTGATAGAGTCATAATGACGCTTCTGTCTTTGTCGCAACTGTGGGAGGCACTGATATTGTCTGGGAAGGCTCAAAGGCTCCGACACATATATGATACCCAAGAGACCCCAGAAGTAACCATTTCAATGAGATAGTTCGTTAGACTGTGGCGACTGCAAAATCCTGCCCAGAACCTTTACCAAGATGTCCCTCGAAGCTGATATTCGCGAGAAACCCGATTGCATCCTCGAACGAGACCTAATGTCACAATATTTCTGCGACCCCTC